AAACAATACAAAGAATCAACAAGACAAAGAGTTGGTTCTTCAAGAAAATCAACAAAATAGACAAACCTTTATCTAAACTAACCAAAAGGCAGAGAGAAACATCTAACTTAACAAAATCAGAAATGAAAAGAGGGACATAACAACAGACATGAAGGAAATACAGAGAATCATCAGGTCATATTTTGAAAACCTGTATTCCACAAAATTGGAAAACTTAAGGGAAATGGACAACTTTCTGGTTAAATATCACTTACCAAAATTAAATCAAGACCATATAAGCAAATTAAACAGACCTATAACTGCTGAAGAAATAGAAACAGTCACCAAAGGTCTCCCAACCAAATAAAGCGCAGGACCAGATGGTTTCAGCTCAGAATTCTACAAGACTTTCAAAGAAGAACTAATACCAATACTCCTAAAATTATTCCACACAATAGAAACAGGAAGAACATTGCCAAACTTTTTATGAGGCTACAATTACCCTGATACCCAAACCACAGAAAGACATTACTAAGAAAGAGAATTACAGACCAGTCTCATTTATGAACATTGATGCAAAAATACTAAATAAAATACTAGCAAATCGAATACAAGAACACATCAGAACCATCATCCACCATGATCAAGTTGGCTGTATCCCACAGATGAAGGGATGGTTCAACATATGAAAATCTGTCAACGTAATCCACCATATAAACAAGCTGAAAAATAAAAACCACATGATTATCTCATTAGACGTCAGAAAAGCTTTTGACAAAATACAACATCCCTTCATGATAAAGGTCTTGGAGAGAACAAGGATACAAAGAACATACCTAAACATAATAAAGGCAATATACAGCAAGCCAAGAGCCAACATCAAACTAAATGGAGAGAAACTCCCAGTGATTCCACTGAAATCAGGAACAAGACAAGATTGTCCACTCTCTCCATACCTATTTAATATAGTTCTTGAGGTCCTAGCTAGAGCAATAAGACACCAAAGGGAGATCAAGGGGATACAAATTGGAAAAGAAGTCAAATTCTCACTGTTTGCTGATGATATGATAGTTTACATAAGTGATCCCAAAAATTCTACCAAGGAATTTCGACAACTCATAAACACTTTCAGCAATGTAGCAGGATACAAGATTAACTCAAAAAAATCAGTAGCCCTCCTGTACACAGATAATAAAAGGTCTGGGGAAGAAATCAGAGAATCAATACCCTTCACAATAGCTACAAATAGCATAAAATATCTCGGAGTAAATCTAACTAAACAAGTGGAAAACTTGTATGACAAGAACTTTAAATCTTTGAAGAAAGAAATTGAAAAAGACACCAGAAAGTAGAAAGATCTCCCATGCTCTTGGGTAGGTAGAATTAACATAGTAAAAAATTAACATAGTTAAAAAAAACAATCTTACCAAAAACAATCTATAGATTCAATGCAATGCCCATCAAAATCCCAGCAAAATTCTTCAAAGACCTCAAAAGAACAGTACTTAACTTCATATGGAAAAGCAAAAAAACCGATGATAGCCAAAACAATCCTGTACAATAAAAGAACTTCTGGAGGCATCATAATCCCTGACTTCAAACTCTACTACAGCGCTACAGTACTGAAAACAGTCAGGTTACCGGAAAACTGTAAACCAAAACCACAACAAGGTGTTTCTATGCATCTGTTGGGATGACATGGAATAACAGAATAATGTCAATACCAGGAGTAACCGAATCTCAGACACTGCTGGTGGCAATGTAAAGTTGGCACAACTGCCGGAGAAAGCTCTGGAAGTTTACTATACATTCATTTACAGTGGCCACAGGGTCTAGAAATTCAATATAGTTAACCAGTAAAATTAAAACGTATGTCCACACAGAAACTTACTTGCAGGTATTTATAGCAACTTATCTCTAAAATTGTCACAAATGGGAAACAGCCCAGATGCCCTTCAATTGAGAAATGGATCAGCAAAATGCAGCACACACATACAACAGGACACCATCCAATAGCAAAAGGGAACAAACTGCCGATACAGACAGCAACATGGATGAACCTCTAATGCATTACACTAAGAGAAGGAAGCCAGATGGCAAAGAGTATCCACAGTATATGTTATACACGCATGAGGGCATATCACAGTGAATTCCATAAGCAATATAATTAATATATTTATTAATAACAAAGGCATAATCACATAAGGAGCATCTGATCCCATTTAGATTGTGGAGGCCATTCTATGACTATATATTTGTCAAAATACACAGACTTTTAGTGACAGGGTGAATTTTACTCTATGTAAACTTAAATACTTTTAGCATGAAAATGTATCCCTAAGCATTCCATTCAACTTTTATAGATGGTATCTCTATGGAATATATATAAGGAAAGAGCTACTAAATAATGGCTCATGGAATCAAAATGAGTCAGGTTTCTCTACAGTCTTGAAGAAATACACTTGACCCAGAAATTGAAATAACTGCAATGCCCATGAATGGGGGGACTCGGGAAATAAAGTACAGCATGCCCAGTAAAATATATAGTCACTTAAAAATTAGGGATACTTCCATTTGCTGTCTTGGAATCTACAAAGTTTGCATACCATCTGAATCCTTAAAAAGATTTCTCTTATTAATCTGTAGCCATTTATTTTTATGAAGCTCGGGCCGGAACGAATGCCATGAGCAATGTTCCAAGGAGGAGCTTACTTGGGCGACAGCAGGTAAATTTCTGGGGAGCTCCTAACCAATCTGGGGGTGTGTCCAAAGTGTTCAGTTGTGTCGAGTTTGAATTAGCTTCATGTGATTTTCAGTGTCTTTAGTATATTTTACAATAGAACGATGTAAAGAAAAGTTATTAAGGGCTGGAGAGATGCTTCAGTGGTTAAGAACACTGGCTACTCTTCCAGAGAACCCGGTTCAATTCCCAGTACCCACATGGCAGCTCACAACTGTCTGTAACTCCGGTTCCAGGGGATCTGACACACTCACATCAATGCACATGAAATAAAGTTGAAAAAAAAGAAGAGTTATTAAAGCAATTCATGTCCGAAAGTGAGCATCTGCCAGGCAGTGGTGGTACGTGCCTTTAATCCCAGCACTCAGGAGGCAGAGGTAGGCAAAAGTTCTGCGACTGTGAGGCCAGCCTGCTCCACAGAGCGAGTTCCAGGATAGCCAGGGCGACACAGAGAAACCCTGTCTCAAAACAACAACAAAAGCGAGCATCTGGGAAGCCACCCCTTATCCAAGAACTTGAACACAACACGTGACTACTGACACGTGTACTACCTCCCAGGAGCAACTGATATTGAATTGTGTGTGTCTCAATCTCTTGCTTATCTCAGCTTGACCTTATATATTTAAGGCTATGAGTAAGAGACAATGAAAAAGACATTGGGCTGCATATCGTCTTTCAGGGCTTGACTTTTTACCCAACATGACACTGCTCCGTTCACAGATGCAGCAGCCTGTTTGTGACTAATTTACTTTCACACTTATAATACTCTATCCTGGACCACGGTTTCTCTTAACTGTATCAGAGCATTAAGGATGGCTCTATTCATCCATCATGACTGAAGGTCGCAATAAGCATTAGTTTTATAATTAAAATTTAGGAGTGTGTGCATAGAGGGTAATGAGAACTCACGTTGATGTAACTAGTGTATAGGAACTCCTTTTTCTGTGATGAATGCAGGCTCAGTACCGCACAGGGCCCTTAAGGCAGTGGGATCTTCAATCTGAATACTGTGACAACCAGGGTATTCTCTCCAACAATGAAGGTTGCAACCCAGCTGCCTTCAGGTTCTTCTTAAAGCTTTTATATATTCTTAAAATTATATTTTATTAAAAAATGCTTAAATGCACAATTCTTAGAAAGAACCATCTAAACAAATAAATAAGTGTGGATACTGAAGTTTTTCTTTTTCTCCCTATCCCAGGCCTTTTTCCTTTGTTCAAATAATCACAATTTCTCGTTTTTGTTTTCTAGGGGCTTCCACCGAGAGCTTTGTTTGAACTCAAAATACTTGAATTGAAAAGACACGTAATGATTAAAAAATACAGGAAGAAGGAGGCATCCTAATTCGACACTCATCTGAATTAAAATTGCCTGCAAAGAAAGAGCAGAAAAAGAATTCCAAGTTTATGGATAGAGCAAAATGTGATGGTTTGGTTTTCTTTTTATTAATTCATCAAAAAATTCATTACATATATATTTTTTGATTTGTGAAATGCTCAAATAAGCATTAAACATGTATCCATTTTCAAGCTTATGTAAAAATCCCATCCCCAGTTAGATGATTTAGAGATTGTCTACCATTACATCTTACTGTTAGCACCACATCTGGGTAGGGCAGAAAGGACATCAGTGTAGGCAATTCTTTCGTATGTCACCTAGTAACTACCTTATCTAGGGCACAGTAATAACGCTCCTGAGTCTCAGTTTTCTACCTGTGAAATGAATGTTGTAAAGATTGAATGAGATACATAAATTGCCTTGTACAACATTCAGCATAAGAGCCCTCTTGTGAATGTAAACATACCTGCCTCCTTACGCCCTTCCAGCTCTCTCAATACCTAACTCAGAACTCATACTGACTGTGATTGCCTTGTCCTGCTTTTCTTAAAGGGAACAGTCCTTCCTCTATGGAGAGATCCAGTGAAGGTTGAAAAGTGAATTTGAAAGCAAATGAATGAAACTAGAAAAAAAAATCCTGAGTGAGGTAACCCAGACCCAGAAAGACAAACATGGTATGTACTAACTCATAAGTGGATATCAGATATAAAGCAAAGGATAACCATGCTGCCATTCACAGAGCCAGAGAGGCTAGGAGACAAGGAGGACCAAGCAGAGGATGCATGGATCTCCCTGGGAATGGGAAATAGAAGAGATCTCATGGGTGAACCGGGGGCAGGTAGGGGGCTGGATGGAGGGGGAGAATACTGAAAGAGATGACTGGAAAGGGAGGGGGTGTTTGGGGATCACACTGAAACCTGATGCAAGGGAAAGTCCCACAAACCTACGAGGATGACCCATCCAAGACTGCTAACAATAGCGGATATGTAGCCTGAACTGGCCATTGCCTGTGATCAGATTGGTGACTATCCCAGTTGTCATCACAGAGCCTCCATCCACAAACTGATGGGAACGGATGCAGACCCACAGCCAAACATTAAGCCGAGCTCTTGAAATCCTGCTGAAGAGAGGAGGGAAGGACTGTAAGAGCCAGAGACGTCAAGGACCTTCCAAGAGAAACCACGGAAACAACTAACTTGGGCTCATAGGAACTCATAGAGTCTGAACCAACAGCCAGGGAGCCTGCATGGGACCGACCTTAGCCCTCTACAAGTATGTGATAGTTGTGTAGCTTGGTCTACTTGTGGGACTCCTAACATGGGAGCAGGGACTGTTCCCTAAGACTTTTTACTGGCTTTAGAGATCCTATTCTGGATTGCCTTGCCCCACCTGAACACAAGGGGAGGAGCTTAATCTTATTTCAACTTGATAGCCATACTTTGCTGACACCCATGGGAGCCTTGCCCCTTCCTGAACAGAAACAGAAGAGTAGGTGGGGGGGTGGGGCAGAGGGAAGTTGGGTGAGGGAATGGGAGAAGAGGAGGGAGGGGAAATTGCAGTTGGGATATTAAATAAATAAAATTTAATTAAAAAAACAGACAAATGAAATAAAAAAAAGGAAGATAAAAAAATCAGACAAACAAACAAAACAAAAACCCCATGCCCAGTTTTCCTAGCTCCTTCCTTTCCTAAGAGAAAATACATAAGAAAACCAGCAAAGTCTCAGCCCTGGTGGTTTTGTAGTTCCTCATCAATAGAAGCTGCACACTCTCTAAGTTTATCCTGAAATCTTCAATCCTGTCAGGGCACCGGGAACTCCAACTTCAGACCCTGCTTTTGCCTGTACAGCTTTATGGGAACAAAAGCTCTTGGCCAATAAGGATAGAAATCATTATGTACTCCTTTAGCCATCGCTGGGGTGGAGAGAAACAGCAAGGAGGCAAAATACGAGGGTCTTTTTAAAGAAGAATGTGCCAAATATGTACCCCAAATGCCAGGTCAGTCTAAGCAGCCCACAGCGAAGGAAGGAGCACGGCTGGAAGAGAAGTGGAGGACCAACCCCTGGACAGGGTGAGATGGGGAGACCACTCATCCAGAGGTTATCCAGTGGCAAAGGACCGCTGTCCTCATGGTTCCGCGCAAAGAAAGCCCCGGGCTTCTAGTGTGGAGCATGTGGACTCCCAACCTCCACGCCTGTCTCTTTTCTTAGCTAGTGTTCTCTTGAAAGTTACCGCCACCCTGATCGCACACACCAGTGATCTGAAATACCTTCCCCAGGGAAACAACCAATTCTGAAACTGCTTTCTCCCGGCTCAACCACATCCTCCACTAGGTGTCCCATCGTCAAGTTCAAAGGCATCGGCTTCAGACTCGGTTTCCACTGCGGCTTTATGGGGACCCCGAGTTTTCAGTTTACTCTACAACAAGGCATTAAATGACCAATAGCTGCCGCCATTGCTTGTTAAAAGAACTCATATGAAGCCGGGCGGCGGTGGCGCACGCCTTTAATCCCAGCACTCGGGCGGCAGAGGTAGGCGGACCTCTATGAGTTTGAGGTCAGCTTGGTCTACAAGAGCTAGTTCCAGGACAGGCCCCGACACTACAGAGAAACCTTGTCTCAAACAAGCAAACAAACAAAACAAAGAACTCATAGGACTAACAAAATCCTTTCTGTTTGCGCTGGTCACTGTTCCTTTTGGAGGGGAAGCAGCTGTTTGCAGCTTAACCGTAAATGGAACTAAACCACTTCTCTTTTACATCCATTCAGACACGTGTGTCTGAATCCTGTCTCATTGCAAGCATCGGATGATGGGGACAGACGGGTTAATATTCCCATCTCTGTCTCTGTAAAATGGCACCAGCCACCCTGGGAACCATTTTTCTTTGCTACTTGAAATATCCACTATTTCAAGATCCACACTCCCTCTCAAAGCAAGTCCACAGACGGAGGAACACACTCATTTCCAGCTTTGGCTAGGGCCCACCTCCTTCCCACTGTTTCCAGACCCCCGCCCCATTATCCTTTCTTACCTGCTATCTGATGAAGCTGCCAGCCCAGGCTCAGCATCAGCGGCAGGAGGAACATGGTCTGTATCGGTCTGAAATAGACAGTTGAGAGTCTCAGAGCTTAGTGAGTTTTCTCAGTCTCTGCTGGCTTAACTACTCCCAAGAGAATAGTAATGGCCCAGATACAAATCTTGTGGGAGACACAGCTGACAGCCAAGGCAAGAGTAGAAGCGGTAGATGTCTGTTCTGCAGAAGAGGGCAGACACAAGGAGGAAGAAGGCACTCTTTCTGAATTCAAATGAGGCGCTCTTCTTCCTTCTTTCACGGCCTTTTCGGGAGGAGAGGATGGACCTCATACAGTGGTGATCATCTGGATCCTTTGGTGCCTCCCGTCACTTTCTAAAGTTCAGTCAATATCAAAATCTTGAACACCAACCTTACTTACCAAATAAATAAGGTACGCCATCTTCTCTAGCTGGACCAGAACTTAGAGAGGACCCTGAAGAACAGGAGATCAACTCGGGAGACCAGAGCTGGTATCTCATTACTTCCTAGTTGGTCGAGTAGGAAAACATCAAGCTCTTGAGTGCTGTGACCCATGGCTCCTGTTGTGTGGCTTGCCTCTTAACGAGCTTTCTAATTATTATTTTTAATTATTTTTTGAAACAGGGTCTCATGCTATCCAGGCTGACTCTATCCACGTAGCAGAGACTGGCTTTAAACCCCTGGTTCTCCTGCTCCTGCTTCCTGAGTACACAAGTGCCACTCTACTTGCCCTACTTTTTATTTCTTTGAACACATTAAATGGAGATAATTTATTAGTTATTCTAAATCATACCTCAAAGAAGCTGATTGAGATCTATATGCTGAAAACATTTACATTCATGTTGTAAAAACTTTATTGACTATTAGTTGTATAAAACAATAGACTTCATCATGCCTCTTCATACATGTCCTTTGATCATATTTACTCCCATTACCCTATATGTTCCTCCCATCTCCTTACGGCTCCCTTCCTCACTAACAGTTCTCCTATTTTCACATATCTTTTTTTAAAAAAATGACATTGATTTCATTTCTTCTTTATGGCTGATAGTGTTCTATTGTATACATATGCAATGTATTTTTTATCCACTCATCCATCAGCGAGCACCTGGGCCACTGTCATAACTTGGTTACTATGAATGGTACAGCAATGGATACACAAGTATTTTGGTGGACGACTTAGATTCCATTGGGTTCTTAGGAGGGGACCAGCTGGGTCATATGGTGGTATCAATTTTCGCTTTTTGAGGAATATCCATGTTAATCTCCATGTGACTATACTAATTCTCGTTCCCATTGGCAGGGTGCAAGTGTTCATTTTCCCTGCATCTCCAGCAACTGATGTGTTTTGCTGTTTCTTTGAAGATAGCCGTTCTGACTAGGGGGTGGGGAAGGAACCCCAGTGTTTTCTGAGAGCTCTAAACAGAGCGGGTCTAGCAGGGGTGGGAGGTGTCCTGGTCCTGCTCCAGCTCAGTCTGGTTCCACCTTCTGTTTCGCTTCTCATTCCAGGTTCTCTGCATCCACAGAACAGCCGGGAAGGCACACTGTTGTCAGTTCTTCTCTCTTGAGGGGACCTTGAGACTTTATTAGCTATGTGAATCCATTTCTCCAAGGAAAGCTGTACATCTGAATCCTGGAAGAGCAGAGATGTTCAGAGAACACAGCATGTTGGTGAAGGGATACTCTCTGGAGCCTGGGGAATTTCACTTTTATTTTTAGAAGAGGATGTTGCTTTGGTCAGAGAATTGCCTACTATTGGGAGGATGAGCTGCTTGGCAATGCAGACTTAGAGGACAGTGTGATAACTTGCATTAGGATGCTGGGGCTCGTAGAAGGAAGTGATCTGTTGAGGGTTTTATTACCTATGTGTTCTTTAAATTTATTTATTTAATAATAGTCTTATTAAAATACAGTCAATACACAAAAGAAAGCTGTATAAACCTAATGCAGAGTCTCACAAGCACAATATTAATTCAATGGGGGTGTTTAGTGTGTACACACAGTTGTGTGACCAATACCACTACTTAATTCTGATATTTCTGACATTTTTTAATTATCACAAGAAAGGAACTATACCCAGTTAGAGAAATTCCTATTTCCCCTTCCTTTTCCTGGAACCCCTGGCAGTTACAAATCTGCTTTCTCTTTTGGTCAGCTATGTGTGCTACACACTTCACGTCAATGACATCATGCAGTTCTTGACCTTTTGTGACTGGCCTCTTGCGGTGAACAGAAAGTCAAGATTCATCTGCTGTGCATCACAGATCAATACTTTATTCCTTTCATAAAGTTACTCCGCTGTAAAATAAGCCAAGCTTGTTTCTCACTTCCTAACATTTTCTTGTAAGAACAAAATATGTTCTGTCCATATCTGGGTCTCTAACCTGTGTTGAGTTACGTTTGGGGGGATAAATAAGGTTCTTTTGCAAATGTTCCACTAAAGTTGATTTTCAAAAATATTCTTTCTCTGTAGAATTATCTCAGCCTCCTTGACGACAGATGTAGGGGATGCACTGCTGGACTTTTCATCCATTTTGCTCGGCTCTATGTCTGTTCTATGTCCCTATCACCCAGTGCTAATTACTGTAGCCTTGGGGCGAGTTTGAAATCAGGAAGTGAGACCTTCAACTTTGTTCCTTCTCAAGTCCTCTCTCTCCCTCGCTCCACCCTTCCTGCTTCTTTGCTTCTCTCCCTTGAATTTCTGTATGAATTTTAGGGTAGACTTGTCTGTTCTGCACAAGAGAAACTGACTGTTTGCTTTGGTAAGAATTTCATTGACTCTGCAACTCTGTCCAAGGGGAATATGATCATCTCATCATTAAAGTCTTCCAACCCTTGAAAAAAGCCTGTCTTTCTGATTTCTTTTCTTTTTTTCCCCAGCTTTTGAAACTTTAAATATGCTATTTATAATTATTATTGGTGATATGGGCAAGTGTGGGTGTGTGTGCTTTGATGTGCATGTGGAAGTCAACTTTATAAAGTTGGTTCTCTCCTTGCACCTTTCTGTGAGCTTTGGGAATGGCACATGGGTCTCCAAGCTTGCCTAGCAAGCACCTATACCCACTGAGTGACCTCAACATCCCAAGCTTTGAAAACTTCCTATTTGCATATGTAGAAGTTATGCATTCTGATAATTTAAACCATTTGAACAAAAAAAAATGGCACTCTTATAAAACCGCATGTTGCAGCCTGCAGGACGCCAGGGACCACTGTGGATTTTACTCAAGATTGCACCTCCTCCCACCCCATTTCTTCCCTCACCGGCAGTAAGTTCTTTCCCCTTTCCTGCCAGTCACACCTGAAGACGGAAGAGGCAAGCAGAGGACTTTGTTACCAATTGTTATGGCTTCTGTGATGTGAAAAGGAGAGCCCAATCTTTTAAATTTGGTCCAACCTCGTCACATTACAAAGTTAAACAGTGTAAAGAAGTAAAATCAGAAGCCATTATTCGTGGGGTGCTCAGTGCATGTTGCTGGTGCTTGCTCCACCCCCCCCCTCCCATCTGCCCTCTCGTGTCGATCTGCTTCTTTCTTTCAAAAGAAGAGATTCTCGCTTACATTTCTGGGTTCTTTGGCCTCCACTTATTGAGTTTCAGAATGTCACCCACATCAAGTATTCAGACAAGGTTGAGGAGGGAGTGGAGGGGAGCATGTGAGCACCGGGAATCTGATCTGCATGGTCACTGACTAAGTCATTTTCTTATATCTATATTTTGAAAGAAAACCTATAGGGAATTGCTGACAATACGGATAAGTAGTTTAAAATATACAGTAAAACTCCCGGGCTTGGGGAATCAAGTCATTGGGGTAGTAGAGGACCAGGAATAGTCCTCAGATCCGAGGTGCCTGCTGGACTTCCAAGTGAAGCTGCTCGGGAGAAAGAAGGCAGAAAGTTCCAAGTTGGAGGTTATGGTTAAGACCTTGTATAGCAGTAACATAGGCCACCGTGCGCATGACATCAGCCACAAGAGATGAGAAAGACAAAGTGTGAAGCAACAGACCTGGAATTTTCCAACATGTCTGGGCCGCTGTGAGGAGAGGCACCAGCAAAAAAGAGGCAGACCAAGCGTGAAGGTCCAGCTGACAGCACTTGTTAACTATCGATTTTGCACTGGGTATCCTGATCTTTTGTACGCTGAAAGCTATGCAATGCCGAACAGACTGCCCTCCCCAAATTCACCAGTTCTAAGAGGTGGCCCCGATGGGCCAAGAACACGTTGTTTTAACATAAACCAGGCAATTCAGAATCTTTGTGTTCTATGGCCTGCTTTGTAGGGAACTTGAAACTCTTGTTCACTGTTTTACTCCTCATAATCAAACCCTGTTGAAACTAGTGACTGACCCTTGCTGAAAGCCAGCAGAAATTGTGTTAATTAATCCCGACATCTGCCTACACGTCTCCCTTCTGACTCCTAGACAACCCTGATGTTTCGCCATGTGGGATCCTGTGACTCAAGGCTTTTTTCCCTTGAGGTTTGCTAGTATATCAGATGTTTCTCCAGGGCAGACTAAACTAAGGCTCGACGCACCAGGTATTCATTCTTTCAATAACAAAGTTCTTAGGTTGTTTGCAGGAGGTGTCTTCAGACTCCACTTAAGGTGGCTTTGAAACTTGTGTTTCTAGAGTGGACAGTCATGGAAGAAGCCAGACCATCTGGTGAAGACACTGGGTCAACAAAAGCTCAAAAACGCCTGTTGTACCCTGTTGATGGGAGTGGAGGTGAGGTGGGGGCAAGCTGGTTGGAGAATGTGAGCACGGGAGAGCTGCTCCCCCACCCCCATCACCTGTGCCAGGTAGGAGAGCTGGGCATGCCCCTCACCAGCTGTGGCACTCCGGAGATCTGGCCCTGTGCTTCCCCTGGGCAGTATACTACAGCTGACCCTGTTAGCAGAGATGCGGGTGTGTCAGCCCAAGGTTATGAGTGTGAGAGAGATGGTTCCATTACTGGCCTGCCCTGAAACAGCATGGGTGAGAAAGAAGCCTCCCCCTTGCCCTTCGCACCTCGCCACCTGCAGCAGGTGGGAGAACTGGCCCCTGGGGTCATGAGAGTAGAAGAGCAGGCCCTGTGCCTTGCCTGGGCAGCACAGTAGAGCTGGTCTCGTGGACACAATAACAAGACAACTGACTCTACCCTGCACTAGCTGCAGCACTCTGGAGAATGGGCCCCACACCAGGCCTGGGCAACACAGTAGAGCTGACCCCTAGTGTTGGGAATGGGGGTGAGCTGCCCCCTCCTCAG